TAGCAAATTAATGTAACATGTTATATTTTTATGTGTCTCTTAGTCCTGAAGCTAATAAATTAGGTTCAGTTTTATCTTTTCAACAATTTCAAGGGCGATGTTTTGAGGTAAAAATGCATAATAAGACAATTCAAAAGAATTGTCAAAATGCAAATGCCAGATGGAGGTAAAAATCTACCCCCTTTCCGTTAGGTAGTGTAGTGGTTAAAGCATTGCTCATCATGCCAGAACCATGGTTTGATTCCCCACATGGGAACAATGTGTGAGTACACTTGTGGTGTCCCATGCTCTTATTACAAAGGGGCGTAAAACCTAACATGCTCACTCAAAGAAACTGAATTGATTTCTTCAAGATTTTCAAAGCAAATGCAGACAGAAAAGAACATAAAGAATGGCTTTACCATGTTTACAGGAGTTCAGCAGTCTAAGTATAAATTATGATAACAAAATGAGCAGAATATACCAAAACAGTAAAACACTAGATATTACTAGAGTTTTTTCAGAGAAAGTCACAATATCTGTGAATCATCACATTGCCTCTCCTAAGTAAATCTATACTTATTAAGAAAAGATTATTACATCATTTTTCATTGTTCACAGACACCATAACCAAACTAATCCCCATTGCATACCATTTCAAAGATTCAACTGAAAGGTTGGTTGGTTGGTTTGTTGTGTAATGCCACACTCAGCAATGTTCCAGCAATATCACGGCGTTCTGTTAATAATCAAGTCTGGACCAGACAATCCAGTGATCAACAGCATGATCATCAATCTGTGCAATTGGGATGCGATGACATGTGTCAACCAAGTCAGTGAGTCTGACTACTCAATCCTGTTTCAACTGAAAGTATTAAACTTATAGAGAAGAGATAATCTTCATCAAGAAAAAGTCAGACATTAGCGGTGAAAACTTTTAACAAAAAATCATGAGTTAAAGTAAAGATTGGGGAATGTTGACTGTTTTCATTAGCATACAAATCAGGGTTAAATCTTTTCGATATGTAAGTTGGGCCCTTTTCCATTTTCCTACAATAATAATTCTAATAAATATAACAATATAACCTCCAAACCATGTTCACAATGACTTGATCTTGTCATTCTTTCATTTACACAGAAGTTGTTTTGCTTAATGACATTAGAGTAAAGGATCATTTAAGAGTGAGTGAGTGAGTGAGGTTTATGCCACTTTTAGTATTATTCCAGTAATATCACAGTGGGGGACACCAGAAATGGGCTTCACACATTGTAACCATGTGGGGAATCGAACCCTTCAGTATGACGACGCTTTAACAATCAGGCTAACCCACCGCTCAATTTCCATTATAGGATCCACTGGTCACCATTGCAGTATTGCAATAACAGTCCAATGACAGTAGTTACCATGGTTACTATGGTCATGTCGGACACTAAGAAAAACATAAGGTATTTTGTACAGAAACTGCTAATCCAATTAGATCTGATGCCTATAATTAATCACAGTGGGTCTGCTATGCCACTGTATACATATCACAAATAGCTGCATAAAGCTGTGAATAATGAATGTTCATTCAACAGTTAATTATCATATTTATCTTATTTATATATACATTCCTGATTTACAATTTTTGGACCACTAATTTTTTATTGCTATATGCAATTTGACCAAAATATACAGAAAGTGCTGGGAAAAACACAAACCAAGCAATTACATATATCTGTCTGTATGTTAATAGAGTGTTATAAAAGTAGTTTACTTTATGTATATATACTACTCACACTTTGCTAAGGATCACAAAATTCACAACTTTACTTAAACGTAGATTTATAATTTGAGATTGTATCCATTTAAAACTGGATAAATAATAATATGGTAGCCCCTCTTTAGCAAACATCCACTTTAACCTAACCTTATGCACTTGATACACAAGTAACCATAAAAACGGTTCTCATGGCAGTATTGGCACCAATCAACCATTTTGCAAATCATGGAATGAGTCATTGACAAATAAACAACACATGTCAATAGCAGGTATGGGATCCACAAGATGAAATGACATACTGAAACCTAGGACCCATGCTTACAATAAGCTTAGATATTTAAACCAAATTTAACCCCACATAATAGTTTTCTGTTGAATCCATGATTTGATCCTTAGCAAAGTGTGAATAGCATATGTAACACCAGGATGACAGTTGAACTCTACATTGAAAAGCAAAGCTAAAATACTTGTGTGCTATACCCCATTGTGGATTAATCCTGTTAGTTGTAATCATTCCTGTCCATGATGCCAGTATAAATATATGATAGGTATTTCTTTGGTAGATAATTACAAGAAAGACTTAACCTTGGTCCACGAAGATAAGCATACATTTTGAGATCACTGTAATCACCATCACAAGGTGATGAAGAAGCCTTTTAGTGAAGATTACCAAACTGTACAATGGAGATGTGAAAATGGCTCAGAATTCCAGGCAAGTGTCTGAATAGGATGGCTTACAAAGGCAGGGGATTATGTCTGTTTACAGTGAAATTAATTGAATCCTGATTTGTTTCCACTGAATTAATTGTCCAATTTAGACAGCATATGTATTATTGAAGTTTAGCATGAGCTACCTATCAGCTGATTGGGAAGTCTTAGGTAACTTGGGGTTATTTTAGCTATCATCACAAAGGCAGAAAGCCTGGAGCATCAGCCATGTTGTAATCATATAGATTATTGATTTAATCAGCTTATCCACTAGTGCGAGTGAAAGGCAGCTGATGAGTGTGAAACTAATCAAAGACAGGAAGCGTACTACCTGATATCCTTGTCCTACAGGTAATGTGTTGAATCTTGTATGTAGAAAGTGACTTCAACTGAGTTTCTTGTTTTTCATCATGGTAATTTAATCATGGTAGTCTAACATTGCCTGATTGTAAAGCCTATCTGGTCTACAAACTGATATCTTAACGTTTTAAACCCATGAAGATTCGGGTTAGAATTGGTCTTCAGCAACCCATGCTTGTCGTAAGAGGCAACTAACGTATTTTGGTGGTCAGGCTCGCTGAATTGGTTGACACCTCGCAGCATCCCAAGTGCGTAAATTGATGCTTATGATATTGATCACTGGATTGTCTGGTCCAGACTTGATAATTTACAGACTGCTGCTATGTAGCTGGAATATTGCTGAGTGTGGCGTCAGAGAACAAACCAACTGTAAATTAACTCATCAAGTGTTGTTAAAATAACTCATGAAGTGGACAGATAAACAACAACTAGAGGTCACCCGGATAACCACCCCTCTCCACAGAGACTTACAGCCGTTGCCAAGACACTACCCCCTCACCACGGAAACAACAACTAGTCGCCACCCGAATAACCACCCCTCGCCACGAAAACCTTCAGCTGAAAACATTTTGTTCATTTCAGGTTTTCAACCAAAAATCATTTCTAAATTTCATATTCCATTTTCTCTATACAAAATAGTAATCTTAAATGGAATTATCTTTGAAATGTAATGACTATGTTCAGTTCAAATCTAAGATGAACACAAAATATTATTTAACAAGTGACATTCCACTATACATTAGTATATATATTTCAAAGGTAAGATCAAATATATTCTGTTTATTAATAATGAATGAGGGAGTGAGTGAGAGTTAGGTTTTACGCTGCTTTTAGCAATATTCCAGCAATATCACGGCAGGGGACACCAGAAATGGGCTTCACACATTGTATCCATGTGGGGAATCGAACCCTGGTCTTTGGTGTGACGAGTGAACACTGTAACCACTAGGCTACCCCACCGCCCTAATAATGAATGATTCTGTTCGTGAGCTATTTTTCACAGTAAATGTATTGACGATAAAAACCCATTGGCTAATGCGAATAGGTGATAATCTTGTCCTTCATAAATGCACATGTTCTTTGCAAAACCCCACATGATTAGAAATACCTAATATCGTTGTATCGTGAATGAAAGTGTTATCAACATATGTCATTCAAATAAATAGTCTGCCGTACAATAAGTTACATGATTTAATTGATCCAGCACTAATTCAGTTAACCATGTTAATACCTTGTCAATATTATTATCTACAGAGGCCACTGGGAACCGAGTACAGGGTACAGGGTACATAAACACCCTGTTCTTCAGTGCTATACTATAACCATGATAACATGCACACAACAAATGTTCTATGATGTTTTTACACAATATTTTATCTTGACTGTCAGGCTTGAAACTATTTTGTAATCTGACACATCATCACCTCAAACGAGACATTAATGCCTATGACCAAATGTGTCTCTTTATATCACAATGATCCTAAACAATTCATGCCACTAGCAGTAAGTTTTAATGCTGAAGGACGAATGAGATGCTGATGTTGACCACAATGGTGACAGAAATGACAACTATGAGGGTTATGGTGCTGACATGACAATGACAACATAGGGTAAATCCAGGCTACAAACTGGCTACCAATCGAGGCTGGCAGCCAAGACAGCATCATCTCTCCTATCAAAAAAGTTACAGCAGCAAAGTATTAACCTTCGGTTATGATAATAACATGTGTGATGTTCACTGGTATATCCTCAGGATCAATGATCAGACCTAAATGACCTAGCTTGTACATATCAAGAATAAAAAACATGACCATGGAAATACATAACAATATTTGTCATTTCTAATTTCTTACCTGAAAATGAAATAGATGTAACAATACAATAAGTTCGCCATCATGGTTAGGGCTAGGTAATCATGATCACTACTTTAAATGTCATGTCATAAAATGAACTTAAAATTATCTCTCCATAATTATCTCGGTTGTCCAGTCCACCAGTCATAATTAGTATCTGCCAAGGGCCTCAATCACCAAATACAAACCTTTTGTTTGCTCGAAGCACTTTATATCGTGACATTATATCGGGCCTGAGCACATAGACTTGTGGACAGTTCAACACTAGCATTTTGCATTTGCCATTAAATATTGCCATGATTTTTTCACTGTCTAGAGAGTATTTCCATGAACTTACCTGTAGGTACCTGAATTGCAAACTGTCATAAAAAGATGATCGATTTCTGATGTGACACTTGACACCTCTGTCTTTGCCGAGACTTTGTTGACACCCATTCAGTCCCAAGTGTCACGGTTCTTCGCGAGACAATTCCTTTTCCCCGTGAACGCTAGATGAACACGGCAGGTAAATATTACGGTATAATGAACTAATATGCGATGGATATTTAAATAATATAACTGCGCATGGTTTGTGTTTTACGTTCAACAGGCTTCTTCGTCGGTACATTGGAAAACCGGAAGTAAGGCACATATGGAAAGTAATCAGGAGTTAACACAAAAATAATAATAAACAAATACTTCCATTCGAATTAAAAATAGATAATTGTTACAATAAATATGAATTAAAGTGATACATTACAAAAATGTCCCTACAATTATTTTTCTCAATGAATATGAATTAATCATGCTCTCTTCATTGCGAAACTGTCAAGATGGCGCCACCCACGTGTGCAAGTTGTTTACAAAATGACATTATATGATCAAACCAGCATATAGTAAGACAAGGTAGTGTATCTGCTGTAAGATGCTCCACTATTTCCGACATAAAATAATTTTGAAAGATTTTCGATAGAATGATACCGCTTGACATGCATAAATTGTGTTGTTTCATTATCAATATGATTTGACAGATTCGAGTGCACTTTGCCGGACCCGTGCATTTTTTCGGATAGCGAACCCATGACCTACCTCACAACTAACCCCATGGATGTCTAGGTGCCTAACCCTAAGCGTGGCGAAGTGGTGTTTTGATGGGATAGGTGTACCAAATTCACGCTATCATAAATGGGGTGAGGTGAAATTGGGTTTTATGTCGTACTTGAGAATATTTCGCTCATATGACGGCGTGTGTATGTGTATGTGCGGCTGCTTGTACTAGCCCAGACTGAAGCTGGTTTTATAGTGCTAGCCCACTGAGATACCATGCCGCAGTGAAGCATGAATACCCCACTCAGACACATTATACTGACTCCGAGCCAACCAGTCCTTGTTGTACCAATTAATGCCGAGCGCCAGGCAGGGACCAACAAGTACCATATTTTAACGTCTTTTGGTATGACCAGAGACCATATAATCTATCCCGGTGTCAGGGGTTTTCAACGATGTAAGACAAAAACGTATTTTTTATCTGTAATATCAGTTAAAGTTTGTATTTTACTAACCTTGAGTGATAAAGGATATATTCATCTATTGCACATAAAAATATCAAGTGTTCCCTACAAGAATAGCGTTGATGAAATCGTATCGGAGAAACTGTTGCCGCTCGTAACATCCGGGTATTTTGTATGGGTTTTCGACGATGAGCAATACTTTTTGCTCCGCACTGCGAGGGAGGGTTGTGATCACGTGGCTTCCTATTTATATATTGCCTGTCACCAGCAGACGACTGATCTAACTGAATTTTCGCTTGCTATTTTTTGTTATAAAGGGAACTGATTTTGCATCATAAGTGATATTAACGATCTCGGGTAAATAATATTGATGTTTGTTTGCTTTTTATATAACTTTACTTCCCGATTTCCATTGTCAATAAAACTTCTCACGACAGCGACTGGGCACCCGCCCTACCAGTGAAACTATTTGGTGCACTCCGATCGCACACATACTCCCCCGATATAGCGCATGCAATGCAATTGTCAAAATCACCAGAACGTCGAATTCAGCTCGTGTTGGGATATTATATGGTCTCTGGTATGACGCGGTCGGGGATCAAACCCACGACCTTCCGCTCTCCGAATGGACGCTCTAACCACTACACCACGGAGGCGGTCTTTATCATAAATGAATGCTTAATCGGCAATCTAGAGATTCAGGAGGTTACCTACCCTAACACTAACGGGACAGATTTCCGCCCGTAACCCCGGTTTTTTTATCATTCTATGCCCAGGTTTTATAGTATGAATAGATGTTTTCATAGAAAGCCTACCCTAACCCTAAACCTTAACATAATGCTAAATCTAAACCCCAAGCCCCTTGAAAAATCATAATAAATAGAACACATATCAAGCGGTGTTACGGGCGGTTGTATAGATATGTACTATAGATGTGTACCCCAGGTTCGTTTCTGTGTTCAGAAATGTACCCTAGCCAAATTCAGAATACAGAAACGTACATAAGGATGATTCAATTCTGAATTGTGTTGTTTTGATGATTGGAACTGTCATACTGTTGTATTAGATACATTTGATATACATAAGAAACGAGCATACACACTAACAAATATTTTGCAATGCACACTACTGTTACCGGGGGTGTTCAATAATTACACACAGGTCGGGTTTCAGTTCGAGGATTTATTTGGAGAGTCAAAAGTCAGTTATATTCATGTATATATTCACACATTTAATCAAATGGATGATGTGGTATAATGTAGTTTAATAATATATTTATTAAATACACTTAGGATAAACTACACTGACTATGTATACATATGATATGCATAAAGACTAGTAATTTATAAATACACAAAAGAGTTACAAGTGTACCCTGTGGGTTGTACTGGGGCGCGGACTGACTGCACCAGTTGATTATATCAATGCATCTAAAAACAAATAAATATACAAGTATAAGTACTATTGAAAGACTGGGTAACATACCATGTATGACCCACAAAATACCTAGGAACACTTGAAAACATAGTTCTAGACAAACACATAAATGATAAAAGGTATATGCTCGCTCACTCATTCTCAAAGACAGAAACAGGAAAGTGAAAAGCTGATGTTTAGGCGAATTAAACTGTGTATAGTAGACTTACTGTTTTAGTTAAATTACAGTTTGTGTTATACCTGTATTGATTATGTGCCGATGTGCCAAGATAGAAAGGTTAAAAAAGTAGCAAAACGTCCGCGGCAGGCGCAATTCCCCAAGGGATGAAATCGAAAGATTGATGGTTGGTGCGCATTTTCTCCCAAGGGGAATTGCGTTGGCTGCCTTTCTCTCGCCATGAGAGTGCCCCGCTCAGCTAGGCCCTTTTCAGAGACCCAACTGATATGATCCGGATTCCTTACCCGAAACACCACTACCACCGAAAGTTGCAAGGAATCCACTGAGGCAACGGCGGGATACGAATTGATAATGTATAGCCGCGCAAACTATACATTATAAGCCCACACCACAGGTTTCTGTGTAATGTCCGCTTCCGTCCTTCTCCATTGTCCCTACCAACTGTGTAACACGGTATGGATGGATTTGGCTGGGCAAGCACATTATACACATCTGTTTCCCGTTTGTCGGCCATTAGTGTCAACAACCTTGACGAGTACTCAGTCACCCACGGCTAGGACTGCCCTCTGATCGTAGTATTTCTTCTGTTGCACCACTGGAAGCTATGTCATAAGCTTGTCTGAGTCGCTCTCGAAGTTCCTTGGTGTACTTGTTGATGGACTTAGACTTGCTTGGTTCCATGTCTAACCCAAAGGCAACGTCAACAGGTAGACGAGGGTGTCATTTGTACATCAAAAAGAAGGGAGATAACCCAGTCGATTCATGTTGGGTAGTAGTTGTACAGTGGGGGTTCTGCATCACATGTGGCTTAGAGTCTTATTTATGGGACTTAAGCCTCCAAACCCCCCTTTAAAACGGCGAGGGTGTAGCGCGAGGCATCCTCCGATGTGCCAAGATAGAAAGGTTAAAAAAGTAGCAAAACGTCCCCGGCAGGCGCAATTCCCCAAGGGATGAAATCGAAAGATTGATGGTTGCGCATTTTCTCCCAAGGGGAATTGGGCGGTGGGGTTACCTAATGGTTAAAGCTTTGGCTCGTCACACCGAAGACCCGGGTTCGAATCCCCACATGGGTACAATGTGTGAAGCCCATTTCTGTTGCTGGAATATTGCTAAAAACCAAACTCAGTCAGTCAGTCAGTCCCAAGGGGAATTGCATTGGCAGCCTTTCTCTCGCCATGAGAGTGCCCCGCTCAGCTAGGCCCTTTTCAGAGACCCAACTGATATGATCCGGATTCCTTACCCGAAACACCACTACCACCGAAAGTTGCAAGGAATCCACTGAGGCAACGGCGGGATACGAACTGATAATGTATAGCCGCGCAAACTATACATTATAAGCCCGCACCACTCAACCGATCTACGCTACCGGTGTAATATCTTCGTATTAATGACACAACTCTAGCTCAATACGAGCCAACTTTACTTCAGCCATGTGACGATCAGTACAAAAACTTGGTCCGGCAATCTCAAATTCACAATACATATAAAACTCGAATCTGTAAACGAAACAGGATCCATTACATCCCCTTTTTCCCATAAGCTAAAAATAAAGATAACACTACCTTAAGTGTCACACTGTTAAATGAAATGTCTGTCTCCCCGAGCACAATAAACTTTAACACAAATAAAACCATTATTGCAATTTAGAGTCACTCAGAGAATCGCTGTGGTCTGAAGATTGGTCGCACCACTTGACGAGAATGAAATGGGGTTCCTCGATGGAGCAAGGCTTTTGCGACACATTCATGTCTGGCGGTGTCTGCAGACTGTACAGGAACATTCTCTGAATAGCATTAGCTGCTCCTTGAGTGGTTCCATCAGGACTTTGGATGGTACTGCAGTCGCCAGGAAGATTTTCCTTTGTTGGAATCAGGTCATACTTATTCCTTCGGTACTCTGTGCCACCTTGAGTTCTTACTACCAAAGACCGTGGAGTGCTTGCAGATTTCACAACTTTAGCTGGGATCCAGTCCTTCCCTTGCCTCAATCTCACACTGTCATTCACCTGTATTGGTGGTCTTGGATGAGCTCTCTGATCATAGTAGACTTTCTGGGTCTCTCGTGACTGTGAGATTGTTTGTTTTACTACATCACAGTCAACAACTTCAGGTCTGAGCATTTCATATTGCACCGTAAGTCACTTCTCAACCTGCGTCCCATCAGCAGTTGTGCTGGTGAGGCGAGTCCATTTATAGGCTGATTCCTATAAGCTAACATTGCCAGATATGGATCTGCATGACTCTGCCTAGACTTTCGTGAACAGCTGCTTGAGAGTTTGGACTGTCTTTTCGCAAGACCATTGGCCTGGGGATACAGTGGTGACGACGTTATGTGTTCAAACTTCCACTTGTCACTAAAGGTCTTAAACTCAGCGCAGGCATACTGTGGCCCATTATCAGAGACAACACGATAGGCACGCCATGTCGTCCAAAGATGGACTTGATATGTGTGATAACTGTAGAAGCCTTTGTGTTGGTTAACAGGGCTACTTCAAAATACCTGCTGTAGTAGTCTACTACTACTAAATACTCTCTTCCATCCATATAAAATAAATCTGTGGCTACTACTTGCCACGGAAGAGTAGGTACTTCACTGGAGATCATGGGTTCCTCACAAGGACTTTTCCTGTGCTCTTGACATACTGCACACTGCTCTACTGTTCTCTCAATATCTTTGTTCATACACGGCCAAAAGAGAATCTCTCTAGCTCTTTCTTTTGACTTGGTCATGCCTTGATGACCACTATGAATGCATTGAAGCATTTCAACTCTGAGTTTCGAGGGAATGACTACTTTACTTCCCTTGTACACAATTCCATCAACACAGGAGAGTTCTTCTCGAAATGTCCAAAAGTCCTTGACTTGAGCGGAACAGTCTACATGTGTAGCTGCCCAACCATTTAGCACTGCACTAATCACTGCCTGCAGCTGTTCATCTTCAGCTGTAGCAGATTTTATCTCAGACATCTTCCTATCTGAAATAGGTAAGCCTGTTGTCACCATATGAACATATGCTTAACTTCCTCATCAAAAGAGTTCAAGTCTGTCAGCTTATCTTCTATAAA